CATTAAGGGATCTGGGTCAATCTGGATGCCATACATATTTTTATATGATTCGAAAATCCCTCTCCAAAATTCCTCCAATCTAGGACAGAGCCAGAACATATGGGCAGTTGTGGCAGGCGATTGCGAACACCTATTGCATGCAGGGCTAACATTCGGGTAAATCTTAGCTAGTCTGGAGTTAGTGAAATGAAGCCTATGAAGAACCTTAAATTGAACTAAGCCATGCCTCGCACAGGGTGAGGAGGAGTGCACCTGATTCAAAGCACCTTCCCATTCTCCATCTGTAATTTCTCTCCTTAAATCACTTTGCCAAGCTTTGCGGATCTCATCCAAGCTCTGTGGATCTATAGATGTTATAATAGAGTATATGCTTGAAATGAGTCCTCTGCTATGCGGTTTCAGATTAAGCAATGTATCCATAGGCGAGGTAGGGGGTATTCCTGGAAATGGGGCAAAAACTTTCTTGATGAAACTCCTAATCTGCAAGAATCTAAAAAAGTGTGATCTTGGTAAGGCAAAATTACGTGCAAGCTCTTCAAAAGAGCAAAAAGTGTTATCAAAATATAAATCTCTTAGGAGCCTAATCCCCCTCTCCTCCCAGACACGAAAAGCAGAGTCCACATATGATGGTGGGAATAGACAGTTAGAGACCATAGGACCTAGAATGGAAGCTGATTGCAGACCAAAATGTCTTCTAAATTGGGCCCAAATTTTTAAAGTATGAGTCAGTACAGGATTGGCGGCGGAGATATAATTTTTCCCCACCAGGGGGAGTGAAGAGCAAATTAGTGAGCTAAGTTTGAAGTTAGCACATGATTGTTCCATTTCCACCCATAAAGGGGTATTTTGAGGATCTACACTAGATAGCCAAAAGATTATTTTTTGAACATTGCTTGCCCAATAATAAAATAAAAGATTAGGCAGCGCCATCCCTCCCTGACATTTTAATCTCTGTAAAAATGTCTTTCTAATACGAGGGGTCTTATTCCCCCACAGAAAGGAGGTGATTAGACTGTCCAGCTTAGTAAAAAAATTCTTCCTAATAAAAACAGGTATATTCGAAAATAAATACAAAAACCTTGGTAAAACAGACATTTTGATCAGGTTTGTACGACCTGCTAAAGACAGGGGCAGAGAGGACCATTTCACAAAATCATTTTTACATCGATCCAAAAGTGGACAAAAATTGGCCTTAAACAAATTATTAAACGATCTTGTGACTTGCACACCCAAGTATTTGAACCCCTCACGTACTACTCTGAACGGGATAGAGGAAGAGTCTGTACAAGAGGCCGGAGTGATCGGGAAAAACTCACTCTTACTCAAGTTAAGCTTATAGCCAGATAACTTGCCAAACTCCTTTATTAGTGAAATAATTTGAGGTATTGAGGAGGTTGGGCTTGATACATATAATAAAACGTCATCTGCATACAATGAAATTTTATGCTCTGTACCATGCCGCGTAATACCTTTAAAATTTACTGACTGACGGAGGGCCGCAGCCAAGGGTTCAATTGATAGGGCGAATAACAAGGGAGAGAGAGGACACCCTTGCCTGGTGCCTCGATGCAGAGAGAAGTATTCAGAGTATACATTGTTTGTGCGCACTGAAGCAGTCGGGGAGGTATATAACAATCTAATCCACGAGATTAAGTCTGCAGGAAAACCAAACTGTTTAAGAGTGTTAAAAAGGTATTCCCACTCTACTCTATCGAAGGCCTTTTCAGCGTCGAGGGAGATTACTGCTTCAAGTTCGCCTGGGGGAGAATTTGTGTATATTATATTATATAGTCGTCGTAGATTGTTAAATGGGTTACGGCCTCGAATAAATCCTGTTTGGTCAATCGAAATTATAGTGGGGACAATGGGTTCAAGGCGTAACGCAAGAATTTTGGATAAAATTTTAAAATCCGCATTCAGAAGAGAGATTGGTCTGTATGATTCGCAACGAGTAGGATCCTTACCCTCCTTTGGGATAAGAGAAATTGAGGCCTGCGTGAGCGTTGAGGGAAGAGTTCCTGTATTGAACGACTCATTATAAACAGCCACAAGAAGCGGGTCCAGTAAGGCTGTAAACTTCTTGTAGAATTCTATCGGGAATCCGTCAGGTCCCGGAGCTTTACTGCTCTGCATTGCCGCAATAGCCTGCGCGACTTCTGCTGCAGCTACAGGTCTGCCCAGGTCAGAGTTAAGGTCAGAATTAATAGTTGGTAAATCTATTTCTTTAAAGAAGGAATCTAAAATTGCAGAGTCATTTGGGTACTCTGAAGTGTATAGGGCAGAATAAAAATGAACAAAACTGTCATTAATATCCTTCAGATTATGTACCATGGATCCAGATGGGGCCTTAATATGAGTTATCATTTTAGAATTATTTAATTGACGAGACTGAAAAGCCAATAATTTACTGGCTTTGTCCCCAAATTCATAAAATGTATGCCGCATTTTTAACAACCTCTTCTCTTCATGTGCAGTTGACAGCAAGTTATACTCGGACTGAAGACTTATTCTTTCTTTGTATAAGCGAGGGCAGGGAGAGATGGCGTACTGTTCATCTAACCTGTTAATAGCTTCTGAAATATTTCTGAGTTTAGAGAGTTCTTGCTTTTTAGCATAAGAGGAGAAAGAGATTATTTTGCCCCGCAAATACGCTTTCAATGCCTCCCATAATACAGATCTAGATATATCATGCCTGTCATTTAGCTCCAAATACATATTTATCTCTTTAGTTAGAAAAATAATGAATTCTTCATCTGCCAAAAGCAAAGTATTTAGTCTCCAGGGTTTAAAAGAAGAATGCTGAGTTGGTAAACTAAGCACAAAAGAGGAAGGAGCATGATCAGATATAACAATGCTATGATACCTACTAGATGAGACAAGGGGCATGATACTCTTATCCACTAAGAAAAAATCAATGCGACTATACGAGTGATGAACAGGAGAGAAAAAGGAGAATGTTCTGGAGGAAGGGAAAAGAAATCTCCAGGGGTCTAATAATCCAAATTGGTCACAGAAATGTTTAATGTTTATAGCTGCCTTAGAAGGCTGTATGACTCTAGAGGAGGATCTATCCAGTGCTGTGTTCAGAACGCAGTTAAAGTCCCCACCTATAATTAAAGCATAATCATCAGCAGGTGGGATAGATGTGAAGACTTTGCTGAAAAAATTGCTATCATCAAAGTTTGGGGCATAAATGTTAACAAGGATAACTTGTCTGTCGAGTAAGCGCCCTGTGACGATAACGTAGCGACCAGAGGAGTCACTAATAACCTTTTCACTGGTGAAAGAAATGCTCTTCTTAATAAGAATAGCAGTGCCTCTGCCTTTTGCATTAAAGCTCGAATGGAATACCTGTCCTCCCCAACTCCGCCTAAGTTTAATTACATCTGAGTTAAGAATATGGGTTTCTTGTAGAAAAACAATGTCTGCGCTTAATTGTCGCAAGTGAGAAAAAATCTTGTTTCTTTTAATGACATTGTTCATGCCTTTAACGTTCCATGTTATAAAATTTACATCACATTTATTAAAGTTGGACATGTTATCAGAAAGTAGTTGTAAATGAATAAGGCAAATATAGTGAATCTGTTACAACACAACGCATGGGCACCTTGACTCCGAACAACGTATGCTGAGAAAAAGAGGAAAAAAAAAAAAAAAAAAAAAAAAAAAAAAAAAAAAAAAAAAAAGAGAAAAAAAAGAAATGAAAAGAGAAAAAAAAAAAAGAAAGAAAAAAGAAAAGAAAACCCCATTGATTCCCCTCCCGCCCCCCTCCCTCAAACAACAAACATCTGCTGGTATACTAAGAACCATAACTCACCAGCTCGTGTTCCTGCTCCTTGAAGCTAAGTTGCTATTGAAATAGCAAAAATAAGTGACATTTATATGAACAAAAGAGTGTGGATCAGTACAAACTTAAATGAGTCTCTTCGTTCTCATCACCCACTCGAGCCATACAGAACCTGCGCTCAGCGGGAACCAAGGTGGAGTCACGTAGATCTACATTATCTGCAGTGATGTGAATTCCTACTCACTCGTTGAAGGGGGGACAATCCCCCTCACAAATTCCAAAGCCCGCTGCGGAGAATCAAAAAATTGTTTCGTTCCATCAATGCTGATCCGTAGACGCGCAGGGAAAAGGAGGCCGAATTCAATTCCCGCTCCTTTAAGCTCAGCCTTTACCTGGTTAAATGCCGCTCTCCGCTTTGCAACATCGGCGCTGACATCTGGGTAGAAGTGTATTCGCGATCCTTTGTATAACACCTGTCCCCTTTCTCGTGCCAAACGAAGAATCAGTTCCCTCATCTGGTAGTGATGCATTCGCACGATGAACGGCCTGGGGGCTTGATTAGCTTTCGGCGGGGGAGCTAGAGAGCGGTGAGCCCTGTCCACCTCCGGTTTTTTGGAGAAACTCTGTTCACCGAATACTTCGGGTAACAGTGTTTCAATGAATGCAGAAGGATGAGAACCCTCGGAGCCCTCGGGGATACCGATCACACGAATATTGTTCCTCCTGGATCGATTTTCCAAGTCATCGAGTTTGGCCCTCAGTTTTTCATTATCTTTCGACAGCACTGAGCACGTAGATTCCAGGGCAGTAACGCGACCATCCACGTCGGTAAGGGATTCTTCCACATCCTTCAGTTTCTGTTCTTGCTCTAGTAATGAAGTTTTCACCGCAGAGATAGATGATTTAAGCTCTGCAAGGATCTCCACTCTGAGCGCCGCTACCTCAGATCTAATCCCGCCAAGGAGTTCTCTGATATCATCCTGGCTCGAGGCGGCCTCGTCCACACTCTGCAAATCGCCAGCAACCTCAGTAATATCGGCCGTCTTTTTAGTGTTGTTTCTCGGCATGATTCTACTGAGGATCGCGAATAGTAGTTCAAACTATGTCACCCAATAAATGTTGAATAAGTCGTTAAATAATAAGAAACGCGAGGAGCAGAAACCTTTACGACTTCTCACGCCGCCATCTTACCGCACAACTCCGCGTGACTCTTTTAAGCGTCACTCCAGCCATACCCGCCACACGATCTCTCACTGTTTACACCTATCAGACACTCCTAATGGTACATGAGAGCACACATACAGTGCAATACAGATCTTATCTACCTATTTATCATCTGATCTTATATTCGCTCTTTTTATGCGTATCGTAGTGCGCTCGCGTGGCTCTTTTAAGCGTCACTCCAGCCATACCCGCCACACGATCTCTCACTGTTTACACCTATCAGACACTCCTAATGGTACATGAGAGCACACATACAGTGCAATACAGATATTATCTACCTATTTATCGTCTGATCTTTTATTTTATTCGCTCTTTTTATGCGTATCGTAGTGCGCTCGCGTGGCTCTTTTAAACGGATACTCCACTTTTTTTGGAAATAGGCTCATTTTACAACTCCCCCAGAGTTAAACTGTTGAGTTTTACCGTTTTTGAATCCATTCAGCTGATCTCCGGTTCTGGCGGTACCAGTTTTAGCATAGCTTAGCATACATCATTGAAGTGGACAAGACCATTAGCATTTCTCAAAAAAAATGACCAAAGAGTTTTGATATTTTTCCTATTTAAAACTTGACTCTTCTGTAGTTACATCGTGCACTAAGACCGACGGAAAATGTAAAGTTGCGATTTTCTAGGCGATATGGCTAGGAACTATACTCTCATTCCTGCGTAATAAAGAAACTTCACTGCCGTACCATGAGAGCGGCAGGCGTAATGATTTGACGCAGCGCCTGAAAATAGGCCACCTTCCGTCAACACAACGGAACTATTTTCAGGCGCTGCGTCATATCATTACGCCTGCTGCTCTCATGGTACGGCAGTGAAGTTTCTTGATTATTACGCAGGAATGAGAGTATAGTTCCTAGCCATATCAGCCTAGAAAATCGCAACTTTACATTTTCCGTCGGTCTTAGTGCACGATGTAACTACAGAAGAGTCAAGTTTTAAATAGTAAAAATATCGAAACTCTTTGGTCATTTTTTTTTTTAGAAATGCTAATGGTCTTGTCCACTCCAATGATGTATGCTAAGCTATGCTAAAATTGGTACCGCCAGAACCGGAGATCGGCTGAATGGATTCAAAAACGGTAAAACTCAACAGTTTAACTCTGGGGGAGTTGTAAAATGAGCCTATTTCCAAAAAAAGTGGAGTATCCCTTTAAGCGTCGCTCCAGCCATACCCGCCACACGATCTCTCACTGTTTACACCTATCAGACACTCCTAATGGTACATGAGAGCACACATACAGTGCAATACAGATATTATCTACCTATTTATCATCTGATCTTATATTTTATTTGCTCTTTTTATGCGTATCGTAGTGCGCTCGCGTGGCTCTATTAAAGGGATACTCCACTTTTTTTGGAAATGGGCTAATTTTACAACTCCCCCAGAGTTAAACTGTTGAGTTTTACCGTTTTTGAATCCATTCAGCCGATCTCCGGTTCAGGCGGTACCACTTTTAGCATAGCTTAGCATACATCATTGGAGTGGACAAGACCATTAGCATTTCTAAAAAAAAAAAAAAAAATGACCAAAGAGTTTCGATATTTTTGCTATTTAAAACTTGACTCTTCTGTAGTTACATCGTGCACTAAGACCGACGGAAAATGTAAAGTTGCGATTTTCTAGGCTGATATGGCTAGGAACTATACTCTCATTCCTGCGTAATAATCAAGAAACTTCACTGCCGTACCATGAGTGCAGCAGGCGTAATGATATGACGCAGCGCCTGAAAATAGGCCACCTTCCGTCAACACAACAGAACTTTTTTCAGGCGCTGCCTCATATCATTACGCCTGCTGCTCTCATGGTGTTAGGTGTAAACAGTGAGAGATCGTGTGGCGGGTATGGCTGGAGCGACGCTTAAAAGAGCCACGCGAGCGCACTACGATACGCATAAAAAGAGCGAATATAAGATCAGATGATAAATAGGTAGATAAGATCTGTATTGCACTGTATGTGTGCTCTCATGTACCATTAGGAGTGTCTGATAGGTGTAAACAGTGAGAGATCGTGTGGCGGGTATGGCTGGAGCGACGCTTAAAAGAGCCACGCGAGCGCACTACGATACGCATAAAAAGAGCGAATAAAATATAAGATCAGATGATAAATAGGTAGGTAAGATCTGTATTGCACTGTATGTGTGCTCTCATGTACCATTATGAGTGTCTGATAGGTGTAAACAGTGAGAGATCGTGTGGCGGGTATGGCTGGGGCGACGCTTAAAAGAGCCACGCGAGCGCACTCCCATACGCATAAAAGGAGCGAATAAAATATAGAGGGGTTTCACCAACGTCACTTTCTGGGCGGTAACCCGGATGCGCGGCCATTATGGAGGCACTCGGATGTAAACAACAGCATGGATTGCACTGTTCATGTACTACTGAACACATTGTTACACTAATAAACCACGGAAAAAACACGTGGTAGGTGCGAAATCATATAGAGAAGGACTTGGGAAGCAGGAGAGAGCGCAACATTTTGACAAACTAAAGTTAATATGTTTTATGTGGTCACATTATGTGGTAGCTGCTAAAGATCCGAACGAGTTAGCTTCTCTAGCACGTAACATTACTGCAATTCTTCCATCTATTTATTATCCCGAAATAAGATACGTTCAGATTGTCAGTCCAAAAAAGCACATGAAATTCGTTTCAAGTTACATCCATATGTGGTTTGAAATCCTATTCAAATCACATATCAGGACATCAGCCTCAGTCTGAACGATCGGATTTCGCGTGGTATGTCTTAAAATGCAAATGTCATTTATAGGAAACATGCTGAAAGTCACTGGCGAAACAATGCTGTGTTGTTGCAAAGTGCCGGACGAGCAGAAAAGTATTATTTCTGAAACCGGCGCAGACGAGCGTGGGAAAAAAGCAGTAACGTTACATACCAGCCTCCTACAGTTCTGCCGTAGTAGTCCAGCGCGGCGGCTATACACATTTCCATGTTGTAACATTTAAAAAAGACAACATCTAACATTATATTGCAAATGCAACCCCTCCATCAACGCAAAGTCATTGCCATATTACCAAATAACATGCATGGACACACACGTCGGATCTGAACAGTTGCGATACACAGTGTGGACATCATTTTAGATCAGATTCCAATTTGATACAAAGATAATCGGATTTGGACTGACAGTGTGAATGTAGCCATAGTTTGTAGCACCTACGTCGACATTTTAGCCATAGTCAACGCTTCATTTACACCTGTCTGATGATGTACTACCTCTCTCAACCACAAACGCCTTCTTTCATCAGTTTTTTTGCACTCTTCTCTTTAACTTTTGACAGTCTATAGCACTCGACATGTTTTTTCCCGATGTGACCGATTGGTACAGACAAAAACTCGACCATTTTTCAGCAGCAATAATCAGCCAAATTTGCGAGTCCATTCAGTTCAGTGGCATTATTTACGTTCTGTGCCTCCAAAATGGCCGACTTCCGGATTGATGACGCGTCGTGAAACCCCTCTATAAGATCAGATGATAAATAGGTAGATAAGATCTGTATTGCACTGTATGTGTGCTCTCATGTACCATTAGGAGTGTCTGATAGGTGTAAACAGTGAGAGATCGTGTGGCGGGTATGGCTGGAGCGACGCTTAAAAGAGCCACGCGAGCGCACTACGAGCCTACGCATAAAAAGAGCGAATAAAATATAAGATCAGACGATTAGATAATATCTGTATTGCACTGTATGTGTGCTCTCATGTACCATTAGGAGTGTCTGATAGGTGTAAACAGTGAGAGGTCGTGTGGCGGGTATGGCTGGAGCGACGCTTAAAAGAGCCACGCGAGCGCACTCCCATACGCATAAAAAGAGCGAATAAAATTTAAGATCAGATGATAAATAGGTAGATACGATCTGTTTTACACTGTATGCATGTTCTCGTGTACCATTAGGAGTGTCTGATAGGTGTATACAGAGAGAGCGAATAAAAAAGAGATTAGACATAAATAAGATAAGTATTGCACTGCCTGTGGGTTCGTCTGGTATATTAAAACAGTGAGAGATTTTAAGGCAGGCGCATAAGTCTATGTCACGAGACTGGTGCTCATTTAAAAAAAAAGCGAGTAGCCTACAGTAGTTGTGAGTGAGGCGAAAAGCGTTTGGTTAATGGTGAATATTGACCTATAGTGCGTACCGTTCTGTCTCCCGCTGGCTTCAGGGGTTATGCGCTGCATTTGGTTTGAAAACCTATCTTACATATTGTGTAAGTTCGAGTGGCCGGCGCATATATCTGTGACTGGTCGAGTGGCAGGCGCATATATCTGTGACTGGTCGAGTGGCAGGCGCATATAACGCAGTGGCAGGCGCATAATTCCGTGGCCGGTCGAGTGGCAGCTCCCCCTGCCACGCAGAGATTTTACCCCCTCTCAAAAAGGACGTATCCCGCTGGTGCCGAAAATAGAAAGAAGAAAATGACAGAGGAGAAAAAAAGAGCAAGATAAAAGTATGTTTGCATGATTATTTACGGTTTGTTTTGTGAACAATTGACCCATTCCCATCTACGGCAAGCCCCGAGGGGAAAAATACATTGCATACAAAAAACAACGAGCGCCAGAACATCATTACCGGTATTATAGTAACAGACTTTGTTGGATTCTGTCATGTACAATCCAACAAAGTCTGTTACAATAATAATTAATTTTAAAAAAAAAAAGATTTTGAGGACAGTTACAATGAGACATAATAATAATAAGTTGAGAAATAATAATATTTTTACAGTTTTCAACAATAATTGTCATTGTTGAACCCTTGATCTTATTATGTTTCTGATTTCTCAGTTTTGTCATTATTTTAGCAAATAATCTATTTGATATGTTTTGAGACAGTTTGTTTTAAGAAGTTTCAAAGAGTTAGTAAAAGAGTAAAGTAAAAGTTAAAACTTTTTTAAGTAGGCTTTTTATTAAGAATTTATTTTGTATTAATACATAACCTCACTGTATTCATTATAATGTATCATTATTGCGTGATATTTGTGTCAATAATCGTCAAGCACAGGTGACTCTGCGTAGTGGGAGGGGGCCCCCAAATCAAATTCTGCTTAGGGCCCCCAAAAGGCTCGGGCCGGCTCTGGCTATAAGGGCTCAAGATACTGCGTATCCATAAATGTAATGCATCTAGAGCAGGCAAGTTGAGCAAAAACTCCCTTTCCACCAACTTACTGAAGTCTAAATCATAAATATTGGCCCCTCAAGTGAGCCCTGAGCTACACACACACATACACTGATGTCTAGATCATACCTACATATTGGGAACATGGTGAACACAAAGCCCTGAGATACACACACATACACTGATGTCTAGATCATACCTACATATTGGGACCATGGTGAACACAAAGCCCTGAGCTACACACACAAACACTGATGTCTAGATCATACCTACATATTGGGACCATGGGTGAACACTAAGCCCTGAGCTACACACACAAACACTGATGTCTAGATCATACCTACATATTGGGACCATGGGTGAACACTAAGCCCTGAGCTACACACACAAACACTGATGTCTAGATCATACCTACATATTGGGACTGTGGGTGAACACTAAGCCCTGAGCTACACACACAAACACTGATGTCTAGATCATACCTACATATTGGGACCATGGTGAACACTAAGCCCTGAGCTACACACACAAACACTGATGTCTAGATCATACCTACATATTGGGACCATGGGTGAACACTAAGCCCTGAGCTACACACACAAACACTGATGTCTAGATCATACCTACATATTGGGACCATGGTGAACTTAACTCATCCCAAGGCGTCATATATACAACGCTTTGCCAAAGCGTACATATCCTACGCACATGGCACCCTTGTAAATATAACTCGCACAGAGTATGGGTAGGTTTAGGTCTGGGGTAGGGTTAGGGTTAGACCACTAGGAGGCGCTTCTGCCCCATGTCTCATATTTACGCTAAAGGGTGCCATGCGCGTAGGATATGTACGCTTTGGCAAAAGCATCGTATATATGACGCCTTGGGATGAGGACGGGCTTTAAGTCATTTTACTGTATGTGTGTGGAGAAAAGTAAAGGCAAACTCACCTTAAACATCAAAGTGCATTCTAGCACTTACACCATGTCCCATTTTCAAACACTCATAAAAAGTGTTCCGTCATGGGTTTGCTCATTCTTACAATATATTCCTGTTCAGACAAATTTGATATAGTTTGATACAAACTATATCAAATGTGATACAAACTATATAGTTTTAGAGAAAAGTAAAGGCAAACTCACCCAACACATTGCAGTGTTAATAGGTGACTTGCTATTGTTCTTGACGCGATTCCAAAGAGTGTGATGTTACTCTTAAAAAACACTGATTCAGTGGAAATCAACATGGACAATCTTTGTGGTAAAATTTTCATTGATAATGTTGATGTTTTAAAGCCAAAATGTAGCAACAAGATTATAAGGAAGGTTTTTTTTTCCTGCAGCAAGATTCTTATAGTCTTTAGTTGGTGATGTCTCTTGGGTTAAAGCATGGAAAAGCATTGCCTACCAAACAAGTTTTGTGTTAATAAAAAAATTAAGGAATTGTCTTACAAAATACTTCACAGAATTGATCCTGCTAAGCAGGTTTTGGAAAAATTAAAGCTTAATATTTTATATACTTGTGAATTTTGTGCACTTGAAAAATAAATGATTTTGCATCTGTTCTTTCATCGTATATTTACTCAAGATAATTTTGGAAAGATTTAGAAACCTTTATTAATAGAAAACTGAAGAGTATGATGGAAATTTGTGTTTTTGATGTGCTTTTTATACTCAGAATGACAATTTGAAATGTAAAGAACAACATATTATACAGTTATTTGTTTTATTAGGAAAATACCATATACAAAAAAAAAAAGTGGGATATAATTTGAAATCATTTATAAAATGTGAAAAATTTGATGAACATCTTTTGGAACAAACTAAAAACAAAACAAAAAAAAGCAATGAAAACATGTTATGCTTTGAAAGCACTGGATTTTATGTAAAACTTATTTTTATTCTTTTTTTTTCTTTTTTTTTCCTGCCAGCTAATGTTAATGTGATATTGTGAATATGTAAAACCTCTTGTTCTTGTGGCATTGAATAATAAAAAAATAAAAACGTGACAAGATGCTGTCATAGCTCTGATCAATGGAGATGCCCGTACTAGTTGTCTGTATGATGGACAAGACGGGATATTTAGAGAGATAGTTGAGGTGGACTAAGACCGGATCTCTGACCATCAGAGACATCACAACTGAACATACCAAGTCCAATAATGGACTTCAAATTGTTTGGCAATGGCCTTGCAACAATTCTTAATAAGAATTAACCCCTATTTTGTGTGCTATAGTGTGCGTCTCTTACTGATTGTGAGTACCCGTTTCGATCAGTAAACAATCCTTGTTAATAATAGTATTTATTTTCATATATATATATTTATACACATGCCAATGATGAAGCATGTGTGCAGCTTAAACCCCACCCCTGATGATGACATCATTTAATGCCATTCTATTAACCATATCCTCAAACCCTTGCTACACAATATACTTAAATTTGTAGATAGGCCTAAATGATTTTGATTGACAATGCACAATTTGCTTTTTCAATGCTTTTATTAATTTGAGGAGTGTTTCAGAGAAGATATTGAAAAGAGGTTAAAGTTTAGAAGAGATTTGATTTCAGAGTAACATTTTTGTAATATTGGAAAAATGTAGTTCAATCAAAGGAACAGTGGAGCAGGATGACGTTCTCACAGGTCCTTTACACAAACATAATAAGCTTGAACAGGGAAAATCGTTCCAGGAACGGTCAGCTGTAAGGTGGAAAAATGAAATGAGTTATTCTGATCATTATATTGTTGTTAGAATCAAAAATAAATAGATCGTTCAACTTAAGGCACTTTGTGAAATCCAAATTAGTCATTTCATGTTACTGTATGATGTAAAATTGGATTGTAAATTGTAACTGAAAGTATTAAAAAATCAGGCTGTATTCTTACAGGAAAAGTTGATCTCCAAACAGTCCTCGGCACCCTGGTAATTGTCGGGAACACCAGCATTGTTAGGTTCTCCAGTCCACCAGTTGGTATACAAAAACACAGTTCCGTCACTCCACAACCACTGTCCTTCCTAAAGAGTGAAGAGAGTGAATACAAGAGTGCACTACTGTTGTCAGACTTCAGGAAAAAGCGAATAAAGTTCAGATTAAGTCAAAGCATCTTCATTAGAAACTTTGCCTTTACTGTTTAAGAAATTGTAGTTTAGACAAACGAATAGGTCTCTTTAGGACACAATTGAACTCACTTGTACAGCATCATGAGCACCAATCCAAGTACGTGTGGAAGGAGAAGGCAACAGACTCAGCAGGAATTTATTTTCCAGTTTATTACGCACAGATGCGAGATTCGCACCAAGACTTTGACAGTTTCTCTAAAGAGACAGATTTTTTTTATTGTCAATACAAAATAAAATAAAAATTACCATAAAGCAAAGGTGACAACATTTTAGACATTTGCAAACAAAGTTTGCTCTGATTGATTATTATGTTTTCTGTACTTATCACTGAAAAAAATGACTTGTAGGATTTATTTGATAAAATCCTCATTTTAAGTAAATACTGCTCTGTACAACATGTTTTACATGTTATGTATTACATGTTATTATCAAGTAAAATCTACTTCCTATTGGACTTAAAATTAGTTTGACATTTAATTGACACTTAACAATTAATTGAAGTAATTAAGTAAACATTACTAAATGATATTTCATTTATTTAATTTCACAAATAGAATTAAGTAACATCTGCTTAACTAACTTAACTTTAACAAAATTATTTTTTTCCCAAGACAATATAACACTGAATTAAACCACACGTTTAAAGTGTATGCTGTACTTAGAAACATCTTAATAAATAATACAATATATTGAATAGATTACATACTGTATCTATATAATAAAAGTAATATGGCACCTGAACACCTCAATACTTGGTACACAATACACAATTACTTTAACATTCGATAGATTGTTTTTGAGTGATTGTGTCATTTTGAGTAAAATTACTCCAGATGTCACAAAATGGCCAGTTACTAAACCTAACAACAAAAGCGATGATAAAACTGTGTAAATACAACGTGGAAACAGTGAAAAAGCAGCCTTATTAATTATTCATGCCCCAGTGCATAATGGGAACAAGTAGGCTATTATAAAAGTTGAGTAGGTTTTACTTAATTTTATATATTTGATATTTACGATTTAATTTCTACACACTTGAATTGAGTACTAATGTATAAATTACTTTGTTTTTTAAATTCTTGCCTGAACTAACTTTTCCTTGTAGAATTTACATTAGTTTTTTTTTTTTTTTTTTTAGTATTTACTTCACCACAGAATCATATTTATCAGTTTAAATGAATCATTTGACAATGCACTTATTGTGTACATACATGACTTTACATCTGTCTTTTAGATTAACCCTTGTGCATTGTTCAAATTCACTACCCTTTCGTTATGTTCGTGGCTGAAAACAGCCACTACTTTAAACTGCTGTAAAAATGTATCAGATAAATATTTTTTTCTATTTTTTTTACATAAATCTATTAATCAACCTCAGTCCTGATCAAAACTACTAAATGTTTAACAAAAAAATCTGGATTTTAACTCTTTAATTGCCAAATTCATAAATGATGTCACTGATTTGGGGGAAAAAACACACAAAATGACTTATATTCAATATAAAATGTGATTGTGGACTGGATTTTTTTTTACCTTTTATCACAGTCTTGGACATGTCAAAGATTAGAAACAATGTTGGTTTTGATGAATTTTTATTTTTTGCGCAGCATCAGATTTTAACTTTTTCTCCCTCATTTACTGTTCGTGGCTGTTTTTGCCCCATTGACTTCCATTATAACCACATTTATTGATTGCAAAGCCATGACACCAAATAATCATGCATTTTTGATTGTTGGTGGTTTTCCCTGTTGGGAAGAGGTAAAATTTGTAATTTTTACTGTGGATAACCAGGTGGCACCATTAACCCTTTAGATAGGCCTGTGCAAAAAAAGCTTAGTTTCTGGCTTTTACATGGAGTTATATGGAGTATAATAGCATTATAAAGTGTGTGTGTGTGTGTGTGTGTGTGTGTGTGTGTGTGTGTGTGTGTGTGTGTGTGAGAGAGAGAGAGTGAGAGAGAGAGTGAGAGAGAGAGAGAGAGAGAGAGAGAGAGAGAGAGAGAGAGAGAGAGAGAGAGAGAGAGAGAGAGAGAGAGAGAGAGAGAGAGAGAGAGAGAGAGAGAGAGAGTGTGAGAACTCACCTTGATGCATCTGAGAAAATCAAAATATGCACCTCAGCTCTCAGAACTACATGGAGTAAACAAAAACAACGTAGCCTAAGTGTATTTATGCATCTGCTGCCTTTTGATGGTGAGGAATGCAGACTAAACAAAAACAAAGCAAGTGGATATAAACACTTGTCATTTGATGGTGAGAAGAGCAGCAAGCAACATGTGAAAGGGCTTGACTTGTAGTGAAGTTTTAGAGATGGTTATTCAGCCTGACCCCTCCAGCGATCTGCAGGAGGTATTGTCTTCTCCCTCTGACACCACAGACTCAGGAGAGTCAGATCCTGGTTTGGATGTGGGACCCTCATCATCCTCTCTAGCTTCCACTGAAGGCGAGGAGGATTCGGAGGATCCTGGATCGCTCATAATTGAAGCGACGCGCTCATTTTTTCCAGGCGCAGTATGTTTGTACTTCGCGGTTGTCTATGACAACTATTGACAACAAACCCACCGTAAGCTGTCACGAGACTATCTATGGTAGCCCATAAGGGATATATAAAAAAAACATTTAAAACGCGGCACACGCAACGACGGGCCGCACTAACATTAAAATTTAATGTCAAGTAGGGGGCCACAAAATATCACCCCGCGGGCCGCAAATGGCCCGCGGGCCGCGAGTTTGAGACCACTGGTTTAATGTGAATAATTACCATTGAGTATTATACAAATTTAGTATCATATTTCGAAGTGTCTCAGAGTAAATATTTTAAATAATGTTGTAGCCTACTCTTGAATGTGAATACGTGTGATCAAAATTATTGAGTTCATGTATGCATGTAGTTTACTGGCCAGCAGTCATATCACCTTGTAAATGAAATGAAGTTTTTAGTTTCATATTCTGAATTATATTTTGTGCTGACATTAAAAACTGTCATCCCCTTTTTCTGCTTAGACATAAAAATGCACTAAAATGAGTTCATGAGTTCACCAATTCATGAATGATTTGGAACACATACCTAAGGTTGGACTATTTTGGAAAAATACATTTTACAGATTATTTCTGAAGGGTTAGGCCTATAATTGACCATTCGAAAAAGCCACGCCCCCTATTATTACTACGCCCGTCAAACAAATGGTCAAACACGACCAGCGCAACACAGATTGCCATGACGGGAAGAGGTAACGTAACGTTATACCCGTGCATGTCAGTGACCGTTTTTTGGAGCAATACCTCAGCGATATCCTCCAGATCGAGACACAAGGGGTTACAGTATGCAGTGGAGGGATATATTCAAAATATAAAAATCACTTTTTGGCAGGTGAAATACTGCATTATAATGGTTGTTTTGGTCCTTTACAGGTATTTTAATGGGTAAAAAGTAGCAGGTGAGTAATAATCAGTCAGATTTAACCCTCATGAATATAAGCAACACATTTCAGGGCAGAAATAACCTTTTAAATCAATAAGTAGGCTTCAATCAGTTTTCGGCAGCTGAAATACTGCATTATAATGGTTGTATTGGCCATTTACAGGTGTTTTAATAGGTAAAAAGTACTGGGTGAGTGATGTTTATTTGCACGTATGTCTGTTTGATCCACATAAAAGCAACTGCATTCGTAAAGAGAATGGGCGATACAGCTTTAACACGCTGCGCGCGCTCCCGCGACCGGCCATCAATTTTCGGCGGACCATCACTTTTCGGCACGACACCGGTCTCAAGTGAAATCTGAGAAACCCCATGACCTGTACCTCAAATGCTACTAGCACAGCCTTGAAGAAGATTTTATAAGCTGGTTCAGTGGCTAATTGTTTGGAGAAATATATAACTCGCGCAGCATATTTAGTCATTTTGGCTCATATACAGGATTATAGATTTGCTTTAACAAGCAGGTTGTTCATTACCACGGCAACCGCTTGCATGTCATGCTGAATGCGATTTTCATGTATAAAAAGTAACATAAGAGACATAAGAGACGGAAAGATGCAGACAGTGGCGGTTCTAGCCCATTTCAACTGGGGGGGCCAAGCTGGGGCCAGTTGTACTGTTAGAGGGGCCAGTTACATTTAGACCTTATTGTTGTCATATCATTTTCTGCCCTGCTGCAGGCATTAACAGGCAAAATACCGTGTTTATAATCATTCAACAATGTATTTGCATTTCCATTATATTTTTACATTTGCATTAGCAATTGCAGAGCAAAAGCAATGGGGACCAAGAAGCTTATTAATTAATTTACTGAAAATAACTGACTTGATATGTCTAACCATTTACAGGGTTCCTGCACACTTTTTAAAGTCCAATTTAAGGCTTTTTAAGACCTAAAGAAATCAAAATTAATACCGTACATTAGGGGTGTGCAATATTGACAAAAATATATTTCAATATTTTCAACATTTTGTTAATAATTAGATGATATTTTACTGATTGTGTTTTTGTGCTGGTGCCATGGCTGGTTAAGGCCTGTTGTTGACAGCTGACTCACGAAGATATTCATATTTTTCATATTCTATGCAGTGGTCAGTTCACAGCAGTGACAGAAATACATTTTTTTAATTAAAGGGCCAATATTTGCCACCTTAAATAAATTGATTTCCAGGGGCATTTTCACCTATATATGGACATTTTTTCTAAACTTATTTAGAGTTATGCATCACCTTTTATGTCAAATACTAACATTCAAATTATACAGTAATTATACTTATTTATACAATAATACTTAATTATACAATAATTATACAGTACCACTGTTACCAGTCAAATTAATTAATTCAATCAAAATCCATCTTTGCAGTGCAGAGGTGACACAGAAGTGGCATTAATATATTTACACTCCATTTACAATTGCATAAATAAAGCTATGAGATTTTTTTCAAATCAATATTTAAATATGAAATTATTTCTAATTTTAACGTTTTAATTAAAGGATACTTTAAATATGAAACTAAAACCGCCAGTAGGCGGCGGCAAGTCCCTGTAAGAGGGATTCATTCATTCAACCGATTTGTTCAAACGGCTGATTCATTTGGGAAAGAAGCAAGTGAGTGATTCGTTCAAAACGCGGATTTCAGTCAAGAAATCATCGCTGTGTTGCATTGAGACTCACGTTTCATTATGAAATTCTAGTCGGCGAAATAAGGGGAAAACAAACAATATTGACAATATTGTGTCTAAAAAGTAACTCCCAATGTTAACTTATTGTTAATTTAACTGTTGTCCAGAGGTGGGTAGTAACGAAGTACATTTACTTCGTTACATTTACTTGAGTAGTTTTTTGGAAAAATTTTACTTTTAAGAGTAGATTTAATTGTGGGTACTTTTACTTTAACTCGAGTACATTTCTAATGAAAAAACTGTACTTTTACTTCGTTACGTTGGGCGACGTTCCTCTCGTTACTTTATTTTAATTCAATATGTTGTTAAAAGCGTAGTTTATTCTAAGCGCGCGCTCTCTCTTTTTTCTGGGCATGAGCGATGCTCAATTCACAAATGAATCACTCTTTTGAGTCGATTCTGTTCAAAGACTTCATCAAACAAGTTGGGCAGATCTGTCTAAATCGGTTTGCGAATCAGTTTGAATGATCTGTTCAGTTTCCTGCACGCACTGAATCGTCTCGGAGTCGTAACAGGAAAATTTAAGAACTTCAAGAGCGTTGTATGAAGTGGCGGTCCACAGTCTACAGTACAGTCTAGAAAGTAAATCTGCAAATGCATCATATTTTTTGCCAGCGATGAAGATCTTTATTAGTTGAACATCTTCGTATGTTACTTCGTAATCTGTCTGTGAATGAATTAATCCACACGACGATACATTCGATTTCATTCAGGTAATACATTTTACAACCAAACAGATTATTACGCCATATAGCATTTACCCTTTTACCCTTTTTTTGGACATACATTACTTTATAGTTATACATTAAATAAGCTACCATCGTCCAGTTTATGAATGTGAGTAGTATTAACATAAACCATGTGTCAAAAAAGGTGTTTTATGACTTTGATTTATGGTTCTGAGGTTCCCCTGTCTCTGATTTATGATGGGTCGCTGACAGGCTCCGGTATGTCTAGGATGTGCGACGCCACGTGACATCATCCGTGCCGATGTCCGGGGACTTTTAAAAAACAAACAAACAGATCAAACAGATGTTAAATTTTTGACTGGTTTTTACGACTGGGTTAATGAACTCACACCTCGCAACTTGCCATTGTAGTTTTTATGGTATGAGGTGTGCCTTTTTCACAACTACGTCACTACCTACGTCTTTTGTTGCAGTTTTAAATAAGGTTAGGGGTTACACTGTTGAACACAGAAGACATTCTACGACTTTCCTGATACAATGGCTACTCCGAGAACTCCTAAAACCCCTAGAAAGGTTATGTGTATTTCGCCGACAAGAGGACCTGTTGAAATGAGAGAAGATCTAACTTTTGCTCCAAGGAAAAAGCTAAATGTTAGCTTGACAAGATTTCTTCATGAAGACAGTGCTCTTGTGAAACAGGATTTCTCAATGTCTGGTGGTCGTGTGGTGAGGTATGTGTTTGACAAGGTGATGCGTACTGTGAAACTCTACACAACAGATGTTGAAGACGATTATACATCACAGACCCCATGTGTGATTTTCCACAAGAAGGACTGGTTTCTGTTTTTCAACTACGTTTGGAGAGATTTGAACGACTGTGGTGATGATCCGTTGTACGTAGCCGAGTGGGATGGCTCAATTCCTGACACAAGATTTCGTGTGGTCGGGGACCATAGTAAAAAGTTACCAGACGATTGTGTTTATATTTTCTGCTGCAACGACAAGACAAAGCTCTGCGAACGTGCGTGGCCTGTTCGTGAATCTGAGCATCACTTGTGCTACGACATGAAATTTTTGTTTCAGTGGAAAGATGTTCGTGCGCTTGACAACGTATTTACATGCATTGACAAGATGTTTAGATGGTGTGACATGTATGACCGTTACAGTTCTGTAAAGATTAAATTGTTTCACCCTGAGCAGGGCGTTACCAACGCTGAAGACCGCCTCTTAACCCCACCCAAGTATTACAGCCATTAAAAACGCCTGCAGATCGGTACAATTGCTACATTCATTCACCATGTCTCAAGAATCTACAACAGTCTACTGCTACACCAACAACCCTGAGGCTCCCCCAGCGATGCCTGATGACAATGCTACGCCGCTGGAGCCCCACCCACAAACTTGCGACAACAGTTGGTTGGATAAATTTTGCATGGATCTTGGATATCACAACATGACCTTCCTTACAACACCATACGGCAACACTGGTGCAATAGCTGGAGCTGCGGCCCTTGCTGGAATCGACAACACAGACAGTTGTATCCGCTCGGACGGATTCAAAATCATAAAAGCGACTGTTGTGGTCCTTCTGGAACACGTCATCAACAAAAAGCTGAAAGAAATC